GTTCACAGAGATTTGTATTCCACTCATCCTAAAAGTGCCCTTGGTTCCCTCAGATCCTGTGTTACCTATATATATATTTGCCTCCTACAGCTTTCTGGGGAAAAGTCCCTGACCCCTCCCTACACCCAGTTCTGTTGGGAACTGCCTTCCATGTGCTCCCCCTTTGCTTACGTCAGCTATAGCACTTATCACTGTTGACATAGCCTTTCTTCCACTGATCGGTAAACTCCTTGAATGAAAGTCTAGCTTGTTCACATCTGTATTTCCAGTGCCTGAATATTCCATATCATATTGTTGTAGCCACGCGTTCCGGGAAACAAACTCACTCAGAAGGACAGTGCAGATAGTGGAGTGCAGTTTATTACACCAGTGGGTCCAAGGTAGAGTATCCTCTTAGCCAAGGACCCCGACCAGTTTTTGTGAAAACCTTATATACTCTAAGTGTATGTGCCCAAACCCACCTCCCAAATTCCCTGAAACTAGTCTGAACAAAGGAAAAGAAAGAAACAGTCAAAAAGTTAACCTGTGATTCATATACTTTAAGCCTAGGTAGTTAATTAACAGTGGACAATTATCAATAGGGCTGTGGTCATACCCCAATCAGTGAAAATGAAAGTGAAGTCGCTCAGTCGTGTCCGACTCTTAGTGAGCCCATGGACTATAGCCTACCAGGCTCCTCCGTCCATGGGATTTTCCAGGCAAGAGTACAGGAGTGGGTTGCCATTTCCTTCTCCAGGGGTCTTCCCCACCCAGGGATTGAAACCGGGTCTCCCGCATTGTAGGCAGATGCTTTACTGTCTGCCAGCAGGGAAGTCCATACTCCAATAAGCATAATAGAATTTATGATTCTATTAGGTTACACAGATAATTAAGGTATTCTTTTAGGTGACAGAGAGTCTAGGTATGAGGTCTGGGGCTCTTCCATCCAGGGCCTCTGGTTTTCCAGTTGGTATGTCATTTCCATAGATACTGGGAATATACAAAGTTCACGGTCCGGCCCAAGATGGAGTCCTGCTTTCAAGATGGAGCCTATTCTGTCCGTTTCCTCCTTCAATATAGCAGGCATTAAGGGATGTTTGTTAAATGGATGTAAGGTTTAAGATAACCTTAAAAAAGTACCTTAAAAAAACCTTAACCTTAAAAAAAGTATCTGCTTTTTAGTAGAAGCACTGAATCAGAGTTTGATTTGCTTGTAGAACTTTCTTCTCCTCACATGCATTGTTATGGACTGAATATTTGTGTATGTAAATTTGTATGTTGAAACCCTCTTCTCCAATGTGATGGTATGAGGAGGTGGGATCTTCGGGAGGTAAATAAAAATAGGTGAGATCGTAAGGATGAAGCCCTTATGCATAGAATTAGTGCCTTTATGAGAGCCATGAGAGAGCTTCCTTCTTTGCTCTGCTGTCTACCTTGTGCGGACACAGTGAGAAGTCAGCACAAAGACAGCTCTCACCAAAACATGACCACACTGGCACTCTGATCTCTGACTTCCAGGGTCCAGATCTGTGAGAAATAATTTTCTGTTGTTTATGAGCCTATGGAACTTTGTTATAGGGCTTCCCTGGTGCCTCAGCCAGTAAAAATACTGCCTGCAATACAGGATACCTGGGTTCAATCTTGGGTTGGGAAGATCCCCTGGAGAAGGAAATAGAAACCCACTCCAGTATTTTTGTCTGGGAAATCCTATGGACAGAGGAACCCCGTGGGCTACAGTCCACAGGGTTGTAAGAGTTGGGTATGACTTAGCGACTAATCACTACCACCACCACTTTGTTATGGCAATCTGAGAAAAGACACACATCACACCCACCTACAGAATGTATCACATAGCTTTCTTATAAAATGAGTCTTGTACTTGATGAGACAGTATTGGCTGATTATATCTCTTTTTTTAATGAGAGAAACCAAAGAAACATTGATCAAGTTCCCTTCTTTGCCAACTGAAACTTTCAAAACACGCCTAAGGCCCGCTACAGTGGAAAACACTCTTCTCCCATCATTGCCTAGATGGACCCTTAACTGCTTGCCTGACTCGGCTGCAGGCAGTCCAGCTTGGGAGAGAAGACATGTCACCCCCTTGCACAAGTGTGATGATTTGTGGCTGAGAAGGGAGAGCCTGCTCTCTGAACCACATGCCCCCTGGTGCAGGCAGGCTAAGGAAAGATGAATGGCATTATAAGACAGACATCTGAATGTTTCGTATTAAATTAGTCCCACAGTGCACCCAGAATTCTCATTCCATAAATCACAAGGTAAAGTAAACCCACTCCCAGGTTAGGCTGTTGTGACTTTGGCCTATGGTGTCACAGATAATCTGCGAATAGTTAAACATTTGTCTGAAATAGTAATAATTTTCAGCATACTTACTCAGTGGCAGAGAGGTGACCCAGATTGATCTCTGTTGCTGGAAACAGCATGTAAATGGGAGTCAGCCAATTCAGGAGATTTTCCAAACAAGAGTCACTACTCCCCGGCCCCTCAGCCTACTCTGCCACTGCTGAGGTGAGCTCCTCCAGGAGCTGTTAGGTGCTCAGGGCTAAGATGAGCAAGCTTCACCCCCCACCAGAGAGCAGATTGACTGCCCCTTTTTTGAATGAATGGCAGTCCCAGCTCCGTTTTGAAGTCCACTTTCACCTTGGCTTGGTCCAAGCATCATAGAGCTAGGAAGGGCCTCAATTCCACGAAAGCCACATTGCTCCTCAGGCGAAGGTTTTTTTCTGAGGACATTTTACATATCTTTGGATCTATTCTGCTTCTTCCATTTCTGGGCTGACTCTGTGAGGAGGGGAAACCATAGAATGGAAGGAACATAAACTGTTGTTCATAAGACCATTCAACTTGATGCCAGCTGGGCCCATTGGAGCTGCTGCTTCCTCTTCCGTAAAATAAGGAAAGTCGACTCTTCCATCTCTAAAGTCCCACTCAATTTAAAAGTTTGATTCTGATTCAGTCGCTAGATGAGATTGGGCAACAGTGATGTGACAGACATTATTCCAGCTGACCAAGGGAGCCTATCTCTCTGCTTGGTAGTCTTTATACAGGTGTTTACTAAGACCTGCATCCAGATTCTCTTCACCCACAGAATTCCAACCCAGATTCCACCAGAGTGACAGAGGGAGGCCACAACACAACTTAGGGATGGCTAATTGATGCTCGGAGGGATTGGGGGCAGGAGGAGACGGGGACGACAGAGGATGAGATGGCTGGATGGCATCACCGACTCGATGGGCATGAGTTTGAGTAAACTCCGGGAGTTGGTGATGGACAGGGAGGCCTGGCGTGCTGCGATTCATGGGGTCGCAAAGAGTCGGACACGACTGAGTGACTGAACTGAACTGAACTGAAGGTGGTTCCTTCCGGGAAAAGATCTTGGTGTGAAGACCTGAGTAGAGTCTTGCCTCCTGCACTGTTGGGCAAGCCTGTTGGTATAAGCATCAGATAAGATCGATGATAAACATGGATGGAGAAGGTCACTAACGCTGTCACAGTGTATGCTCGTGGCCAGGCACCCTGTTGGACTTCCATGCTGTTGTTGCTTTCGTTCGATACTCATGACCAGCCTTGGAAATAGGTGTTTTTTTCCTGCTTCTACTTTTACATTTTAAGAATGGGGAAGCTGAGCTCCTGAAAAGGTGAAATAACTTGCCAAAGCCATCAGCTGGCCAAGGGAAGAGCTGATATGTGTACCCAGATCTGTCTAATCACATAGCCTGTAGAAATTTCAGGTATGGTTATTGGCAGTTCTAAAACTGGGTTTGATGACTTCATTGGATGCCTTTAAAGAATAATTTTATGGTTCAGTCACTGCCTGCTTAGAAGATTTTCCTGATGACAGCTGAGCTAGGCATAATGAGCTGCATTTGGACGCCAAACCTGAGGGAATGGGGGCACTGCCTTGCTCACTGGCTTACGGGGACATGATAAGCCCACTAGGGTATCTCACTTCTCTGCCCCAGTGGCTGTGGTCATCTGTGTATTAGATGCTAGGGCTAGTACCATAGGCTGATGGCTTAAACAACAGAAATTTCTTTTCCCACAGTTCTGGGGTCAGAATTCTGACTTCCAGGTGTCAGGAGGACTGGCTCCTCTGAAAGGTGTGAGGGAAGGATGTGTCCCCTGCTTCTGCTCTGGCCTCTGGTGATTTGCAGACTGTCTGGTGTTGCTTGGCTTGTAGAATCATCATCCCAACCTCTGCCTCATCTTCACGTGACATTGTGTCCTGTGTCCAAAAGTCCCCACTCATATTGAATTAGGGGGCCTCATCTTCTTTAATTACATCTGCAACGACCCTATTTTCCAAATAAGAGCACATCCTGAGATGCTGGGTTTAGGACTTTGACATGTGGATTTTTGGTGGGGAGGCACAATTCAACCCATAACAATCAGTAATGAAAGTCTGAACCCTCACTCACACAAGCACTTCATCTGAGCACAAGTGCTCTACCATTAAAGATTGCAACATTCTCTCTTGATGGCATGTCTCTCTCCCTTTTATGTCTTTCTTGTTTCTTACTAACACTGAAGTCTGATATTAATGGAAAAACCATTAAAAAAAAAACTATTATCCTATGAGGTAAAGTGAATGCACTCAACTGTGAAAGGAAGACTTATCGATCAATTTCAGTTAAACCTTGCTTGTCTGACACTTTGCAGCTAAGGAATGTGTTTTTATTGCCTGGCCAGATAGTTCAGATTTCCGGTCAGTCTTAGTAAAGACCCCTTTTATAACAATGATAAAATTTTATCACAGAGCTATGAAAACAAAATTAGATTTCATAACTCACATCAGGCCTTGAAGGCGATGCCTCTATAAATTTTACAAACCTTATCAAGTTTTAATGCACCCTATTCTGATAAATATTTTTAAAGTAGCAACTTCTATTGAACTTCATATATACGTGCATTTGTACATAAATAAGTGTATATATGTGTGTATGTGTATAATATATTTATCTCCTCTCTCTCTCTGTCTTTCTTTCTCTCTCTCCCCTTTACAGGAAAGAAAACTTTCTCCACTTACTTGGAAACACAAAACTGTGATAGAAAGTTCAATTATTTAGATTGCTGAAGACTTCAAATTTAGGAAAATCCAAAAGAAATCTGTGTAGCTTACTTAAAATTTTAGTGCTAGAATTTATCCTTCAGAATAACTGTATTTTTCATGGGCAGACACTGATTAATTATCCATAGATTCACAATAAGACATATTATAATTAATGGGCAGTGTTAGCCACAGGGATTTTGTATTCTAGTGAAAACCTGTATACACTCTGTAAATTTTCCTTTCTATAGCATGGACTGTTGGGGGAAGAGATGCCTATATACTGAGCACATGTTTTTTCTCTCCAAGTAGATGGTAATTGCCTAGAGAGCAGAGAACCTTATTTTTACTTGCTCGGGACAGGGCTCAGTGACAATGCCCAGCAGTCCCACTACCAGACAAACGTGACGGGAAGACAAGGTTCAGCCAACTTCCACCCTTGTGCTAAACCACAAACCAAAATTACAGCAGTACAAGGGAATAGAGGGTCTGCTTTATAGAATTTTATTTCAGTCAGCTGTTCAGGAACTATAGTCCTCAGAGTCAAATTAAATCGAGTTATAGTTAGTCTTTCCTGTTTTTCAGAGGCAAGAAACACTTCAAAATTGGGCAAATGAAATAAATTTCGTGGTGTAAACTAGGCATCACATATTCTTAAAATGTGTCTTTGATGATTATACATTTTAGTCTCAAGTGCCGAGTTAGAAGAACATCCAAAAATTATGTGAAATGACTTATGGATGTATTGACAACATTCAAAACCTCAATAGACTGTTGTAAAGGAGTCTTACTGTTTTGGTTCATGTACTCCTTTGAGCATCTTTGGAAAAGCCATAAACTTACAAAATGACATACAAAAAATAATTTCCTCATACCGTTTCATGGCGTTCACAGACCCACCAGAAAAACATTAGTGAACTTCCAAACAAGGAACTGATAGAAGCTATTTCTGATTTCCATAATCTTTAAGGTTTGCAGGGGGATATAGGATCAACACCACTCAGTGGAACATTTCAAAACATCAGCAGAAGCAGGTTCTAACTTTCGCTGTGGTAATGTTACCTTGCTATATTCAAAGATGATAAACCATGACAATTTCTTATCATCTTGGACTGTGGTTTTTGCATCTACGAATCTTAAGTGGGAAATGATAAGGAAAGATAAACTTCTTCAAACAGTGTTGTTCATTTTGGGCATTCCTTGGAGAAAGCACTTATTACCTGCAAGGAAAAAGCTAATTAAGTCGACATTTCTTACAATCACAAAGCCATTTTTACTTGCTACTCTCTTAGACAGGAGGGAATACATGCTGTTTCCCTTTTGTCTGTGGGAGAATGCCAGGGAACGCTGACAGCCCTGGAAGTTGGGAGCTGAAACTCAGCATATGAGTGGCTGCAGTTGTTCAGAACCTGCCCGGAGGTCACTGCTGCTCAGCTGAGGCCAAACACGGTACCCTGAGAACCCCCGTTTGTGCTCTTACCTCTTCCAGAAGATAGTGACACTGTCAAATGTTTAGATGCTTGGGTTATTTAATTCCAAGTCATGTTATGACTCTGCTTCACTTAATTTAGTCAGTGTGTGCTGTACCGTCAGAAACAATGTTAAAATGCTATTTAACCCCCGTTTAAGGCTTTGTTTAGAAACTTTCTTAAAACAGTTAAATCTTTATATGAAAACATGTTGGATTATGATTTAATTTCACTGTCCTTGGCTGGAGTTCGCCGATTAGAAGAGGACAATGGACCTGAAACTAAAGACGCCCTGCACGGTGCCCTGTCTGCTGTCCGCTGGGTTCCCAGAGCCCCACATGGAGTCTGCAACACAGTAGGTGCTCATTAAATCTTTGTTAAGTTTCAAATGAGGAGCTGAGTTTCAACTCCGACTGTGCTTCTGACTACCCACGGGACATATCTATTTTCTCATCTGTGAAATGAGAATAATATTTCCTTCTACCCTCCAAAAGCTGTTTCTTGCATCAGATGAGATAAAGTATGGAAAATCATTTTTCCGTTTTGATCTGAAGAAAGGAGTAATCTTCAAAATTAGGCATACAGTCTCATGCAGATATAAAAGAAGTAAGCACCATTGTATTCTTGTAGGAGAAAGAGCTCAGAGACTAATAATTCAAAATAAGATAATTTTAAAAATATTTGTCATTTATTTATTTGGCTGCAGTGGGTCTTTGTTGCATCACATGGGATCTTTAGTTGGGGCTTGTGGGGTATAGTTCCCTGATAAGGGATTGAACCTGGGCCCCCTGCACTGGAAGCACAGAGTCTTAACCACTGGACCAGGGAAATCTCAAGATAATTTTTATTTTATAGAATTTTAATGCTGAAATGAAGGAGGGGACATCTCCATTACCAGAAGTAAAGGAGCACCACACTCCAGGATTTATGGCATCAAAATTATGGGCTTGCTTTCATTCATGTGTGCAACCTAAGACATCTCAGACTTGCCCTGTGGCCAGTGGGGGAAGGGTTATATGACACTGAAGTAAGTTGGGAGAAGGTACCTTCTGATCCTTAATAGGGGAGAGGATTATGTAGTTTCAATTATGTAGTTGAAAGTTAGCAAAAATTATTTTAAAGGGGTGTACTGATAACATATATTTAGAGGATTCTGGTTTACTCAGTATTGGAGCAGCAAGGAATACCCTATACTCAGAGGAAATTTGCATTGCTTATTCATGTAACGATAATGAAATTTCTGTGATATTCTAGCACTGCTCTGGGGGCTATGTCAAATGAGACACTCTTAGTTCTCGTGGACCTTACTGGCCTAGTGAAGGCACATAGCTGATTTAAAAAGGAAGCAAATTAAGAGGTAAGGAAACAACCGGTGATAAATGCTATGAAGAAATGAACATTGGATAAATGGATAGAAAGTGACTGGACAAGTTGATATTCAAATGCACGTGACAAAAACGATTTGTTCAGTGGATTGGGGAGTGGCATTATGAAAATATTATTTTCAGAGAAAAATAGCTAATTTACTACTGTGAAAGCCTCCTTTTTTACAGTTCTGGGAAGAGCACAGTGGACCTGGAGGTAGAAAATAAGGAATTAGGTCTGCTGTTCTCATCAAGCTGTGTGACCTTGGGAAACTCACCTATCCTATCTGTATCTTGACTACAAACTGGCAAATGTTATCTGATTCAACAGAAGACTCTAAACATTTAGGTATGCTGGCTTCCAAAAGAGGTGAAGGCTAACCAATCAATGTTGGGATGTCTTCAGAAATGTTGTTGAGTTTCTGTTTCTTTCTTTTGGTGGCTCAAGAAAACATTGTGGTCACTGTTGCCACCTCCACCATCACCACCAGGCTGTCAGAAGGGGACGTGTCATCCCATAGGTGGAAGTGCGGATGCTAGAGGCAGTGAGTATCAGCTGCGAAGCTACCCACTATGTATAAGGCACTACGCTAGTTCTTTATATTCATTAACCTGTTCAGTCCTTATGAGTATTATCAGCTCCGTTTTGCAGATCTGGAAACTGAGGTCTTGAAGAAGGAGCAAAATAAAGCCTGATGCTGAAAGCTTGGGCCCTAAACCCCCACACTGACCACCACTTTCTTTATCCATTCGAGAAGTATTAATTTTTTTTAATTAATTAATTTGAGCACCTACTATGTGCTAAGAACTTCTTTGATCAAGTTCAGTTTGGCATTAAAAGGATAATCCTCCTCTGGGTTGAGAAAAAAGAAAGTGTACAGAGGAAGAAGAAAAAAGAGGGTGACTATACTCCTTTCTTTGATTAAACTCAGGAGAAACAACATTTTTTTTTTGCTACCACTCTCTGAGCTTCTGGAATCTCTCTGTCTGCTCTCTGTTTGAACTTGGGAAAATATAAAACTTACATTTTCTCTGTTCCCGGAGCTTTCAAAATCCCAAAGCATTTGGTTTAGATTAAATCCGTTGACCGAGGCATTCTAATTCGGCTTTAACACAGATGATCCCATCACCTGTCGCCTTATCTAACCTAACTGCTTATTACAGTAACAGAGTACACTTGTCTGCAGTCCGGGGCAGGGCCAGGGGGAGGAGGTCACGCAGGTTTAGCTGCCACATGTACACAGCAGGATGGTGTCCCTTCAGAATCTAGAGGAGTGAATTCATAAAATCCAATCAGGAGCACGTGTGTGCATTTATATAAGCTTTTTTTTTTTTTTCCGCCTGAATCTAAATTATAGAGATTTTAATAGCTCCAGTAATTAGACAAGTATGAAGTCTACCCCATTATGTTCCTGTGTAATATCACACTCCCCAGGGCCCACCTTCCTTGCTTGCTGGGCTCCCTGCCTGGGCCCCCTGCCCCCTATTTTCTACCATAGGGAAGCAGTTTTCTTTTCAAAGAGCTCACTGTTCACATTGTTTTTGTTCCTTCAATCCGGAGGTTGGATCTGCTTTCTCAGCGGTTTCCCCATTGCATTGCCCGGTGGTGTAAGAAAAGGAGAGTGGGGGCCTTGGTTTGCATTCCCCACCGTGCCTAGCACACGTGCGGGGCTGCACGATGGAGGCTGTCACGGCCCAGAAGGCCGTTAGCACCTTGACCGGCGCCGGCCAGACCCTTTCCGATTTCTTATAGCTAACCCTGCTTTAAAACCTCTTCCCAGCTCAGTTCCCGACTTTAAAGAAAACAGAACAAAAATGTTCAGATTCGCTCTCTTAAATCATGAATTCTTTTATAGAAAACTTCTCTTCTAGCTTCCTGATTGCCTCTCATTATTTTTTTTTCTCATGTGTCCTGTAACTTTCTATTATCCATAGTCATGTTTCACTTCATCAGCAGAGATAATCTCCCTGCAGGTGCTGAGGGCTGAATCTTGATATATATTGGACATCTTGGATGTTTCTAATTGTTGTTTCCTCTAGAACTATGGGAAAAAAAACAAAAAACTTTTGCTTATTTAAAATTAAGGACAGGATGTGACATATTACTAAAATAATGCAGTTTATCTAATCAAGAGATTGACTTTTTCCATATGCATACACATATTTTCCTAGGGACTGTCAAAAAGCAGCTTTCATCACCATTTGTATTGGGGGTTTTAATTTTTTTTTTTTATCCGTGAAGGTATTTCCAAAGAAAGATGGCTGGAATTTAATATCCTGAGGTGGCCTTTTCTTACTCAGTCCCCACCAAAAAAGAAAGAAAGAAAGGTGGGGGGGGGGGGGGGGGTGGACGGTGCGTGGAGAAGGAAAGGAAAGAAGGAAGGAAGAAAAATTTGAATTAAGTATCTTTTCTTCACAAGGATCTGAAAATTGTCACCTGAAAGCAATTCTAGACGTCTATGATGTTGGCCTCCAGGCTGCTTAGAAAAAGAAAAGAGCATAAAATCAAAATCCTGTAATTGACTTCGTTGTAATTGGCAAAGGGATACACTCTTTTCTCTCTCCAGTGGGAGTGGGTATCAGACAGACAGAAACTGTGGTGTGGGCAGCAGTAGGAGGCTTGAAAGTCAGCAATGTTTTCTGAGACTCTATCTAACATCTTTTCTACAGAGACAGATAAAAGGATAATGAGCTGAGGTATTTTTAAAGGATTCTCACAATTTGCAACTCAAATAAATCTAGTATTCAAGCACATGCGTTTTTTAGGCTGTAATGACTAAAAATGTTAAACTAAATATTTTGCTTAAACAAGTAAAGACGAAGGGGGTAAATGAGCAAATTAAAATGCATGAAAACTGCCTCTGCCACGGCGGCTTCCTCTAGAAGAGAATGGCTAATTCATCCGCGACATATTCTTGTCACTCCTCTGGAGAAAGGCCGCCCCAGGAGGAGCCCAACCGTTCAGCATTTTGCTTCTGGTCAGGATTGATTCCAGATGTGGGAGGTAAACGCTAGAAAGGGTTTGGAAAATGGAGTGGAAATGAAAAATCCCGCAGGCCATTTGAGTGTTGATGACAGATGAGGTAGGTATTTTCAGGTAACTAATGAACTTGCTGGGAGCTTGGAGAGGCTCAGTCCAGGCGATATTTAAGAGGCAGGAAAGACCAGCTGAGGTAATCCAACTGCTTCCACACACCAGGAATGGGGGAGCATGGACTCCTGACTGGAACACGTAAAGAGCAAATGCTGAGACACAGCTACATATATGAGCTGAATTTAAGTCTTCTTAACGCTAGTTCATAGTTTGTAAATACCTGCTTTTCTCAACTTCCTATTATTTGAATAAAGGATCTGCCTGCAATGTGGGAGACCTGAGTTCGATCCCTGGGTCAGAAAGATCCCTCAGAGAAGGAAATGGCAATTCACTGCAGTATTCTTGCCTGGAGAATCCCATAGACAGTACAGTCCGTGTGTTCCTAAAAAGTCGGGAATGACTGAGTGACTAACACTTTCACTTTCATTATTTGATTTATTGTGACTATTTCATTATTTGAAGAAATAATGATCAAGTATTCACTATGTATAAGTCAGTTATGAGGAATAAGAGGCAGAATATTAGAGTGAGTATAAGCGCAGGTCCTGAAGTGACCCGGACTTGGGTTTAAATACTGATTCTGCCACTTCTTAAATTGATATTGAGTAAATGATTCTTAACCACAGTTTCCTTATCTTTTTAAAATGAGTATAATATTAGTATTTATTTTTTAAAAGTTGTGGTGAGAATTAAATGAGGTGATGTATATAAAACCCTTAGCCTAACACTCAATTAATGCTCTGTAAATGTAACATCAACATGATAACCGCTGTTATTCCAGGAATGGAGTTTGGACTAGCAGGTGATACATAATCCCAGCATAGAAAGAGTTTGACCTTTAGCAGTGGAGATTTTGACTTGCAAGACTTTCATATTTTCAATGTGTGTGTGCTAAAATTGCTTCAGTCATGTCCGACTCTTTGCGACCCTATGGACTGTAGCTTGTTAGGCTCCTCTGTCCGTGGGATTCCCCAGGTTATTGGAGTGGGCTGCCATGCCCTCCTCTAGGGGATCTTCTTGACCCAGAGACCGAACCCACGTCTCTTAAAGTCTCCTGCACTGGCAGGTGGGTTTTTTACCACTAGCGCCACCTGGGAAGCCCTTCATGTTTTTAATAGATGCTTGCTATTATCAACTTGCATATTGGTAATTTAGTTAGAGTT